AGTAGATGAACATCTCTCTCTAACTAATTAGAATCAACTCCACATATAATTGCACATATACATATACATGATACACCTTTAGGGGATCACTTTCCGACCCGTGTATAAAGGACTACAGCATTATTTGTTCACTCAGATAAACATGTTTCAGCAACTTATTCTGATTGTCTAGATCAACAGAAAAGGCAAATTTGGTTGTGGGGGCAAGAGTGAAATTGTATGCCACACCTGCAAAAATCATATTACATTATATAACACCCCCAAAAATTAAATAAAAAATAATATTCGATTTTAATCTTCATAAAGAAAATAACCATGGATGGAAATTAACCTGAGAATGCAATCCACATCCCTTGTGCACAAAACTGAGAGTCAGAATCACTTCTGACAGCTCCACCATCTGTAAAACGATCCAAATAGTCCTCGAATCCATTTCATCAGTCCAACTCGAAAAAGTTTCAGGCGCTTATTTTTGTCCAAGCACAGCTGTATTATAAAGAATGGGAAACAAGCATTGTCGAAGTCAAGTATAACTGTACAGATTTTACAAGGGTGATATTCTGATGGAACTCTGTGATTTGATGGAGGGACCCGATAGCATGATAAGCAACAATGCTATTTTAACGATTGATCGCTTCCATTGCGATTCGAACAAGGCGCAACAAACCCTCAACATCTTGGAAATTGAAATCAAGTGCCTTTTTCAGCGAATAGATACCATCTTTGTGTGAGGTTTCACCGAGTCTTGTAGTAGCAGATGTTAGAGCAATTCTCGATTTTCTCGAGGCTTCCATTGCAAAACTAACATCTTGTGCCTACAAAAAAAGTAGAACTTACGTGTCAATTATAATTGCATATAGACAAACTTGTATTGCATGTTACGAATGAGAAACTTAAAGATTGATTATACTTACAAAGTTTATAACTCGCAAGAAACTAGAACGATTCCGTGAAGTAATGATATGGTTCCCAGAAACTTGAGGGGAACCAACAAATTTGGCTAATGCAGCCTTGTCTGAAGCTGCTTGATCTTCACACACAAATATTACATAAATTCATTTCCCCAAATCATCAGCATAAAAGCATACCAAACATGCATGGTACAGGAGGAATATAGATGGTGATAAACTTACTCGCAGAGTTTTGCGGTGCTACTATATATATGCATTGAGTGCATCAAGTCATTATGCTTTGTGGCTTCACTGCTTCCAGATTCCAACAAAGACGCTCCATGCAGAAATTTTAGGGCAGCTTGGAAATAAAAACCATTACTCTCGGTGGATCCAGAATTCTGCAAGAACGCAAACGTATTATGGAACATTTGAAAAAAATAATAATAAATAAAGAAACATGAAAAAAAAATGACAGAATCGCCAAAAGGGTGCGTGTAACAACCTTAAGACGATCAGCCAGGTGTTTAAGGTCCTTTGCCTCTTTTAAAGCATTATTAGCAGCATGACTGGACGAATCCCTTCGAACGGGGCTTGGAGCTTCAACATCCCGAATCTTATGAGTATTAGGAGTAGGATGCCTTATAGGTTGACCATTCGAGTTTTCAGCTTTCTTTCTCTGATTTGGTGGCTTTAGTGTGTCACCATTCTCCAACGAATCAGCTGCCAAACCTTTTACACCATTTTCTTTCTGAGATCCAGATACATGTTGGAGACTCACAACAGCCTCGGTCTGATTCCTCGATAAGGGTGGAAGTGAGTGCGACTTTCCATTCCCATAAACTTCTGTGTGGTTGCTTTTCTTGGGTAATTTCCCATTGTCATGCTCCT